ACATTCCATCTACTCTTTCGTCTCTTTTGCTTGTTTTTTTTCTCCTCATTTTCTTATTTGCTTGTATTCTAAAATGTGTCAACTTGATTCAAAATCGTTTCTATATTCATCTTTCTCTGTCACGTCATATTGGAATTTTGAAACAAAAACGTTGTTAATCAATTTAAATGTAAAACTGTTCACTTTATCTCTATATATAGTAATATTAATAAATTATAGTGATTGTTTACAAAAGGTACAAATCTCTTTCCTTTTTGAATATATTAGGGAAGAATGTCAGTATTTCTTCATTTGGGAAAAGGCATAGACTTCTGAATATAGAAGCTTGTCTTCTTCTGTTATGCACAGATTACCGCACAAATACACACGCAAACACACAAACACATATACGACAGTTGATTAATTCAATTTGTGGTTATTATTCTTTTTCCCTCTCTAAAATACCCCAATTTCTGGACAACAAAATTAACTTTTAGCAATCAGCCAAGTTATATATTGTTCGTTACATTCCTTAAATGGTCCTAACATAAATTAATTTTTTTTTCAAAAAATAAAAAGAGAATATACAGACAACAATCTTTCTTAAATGCTTGATATTTTAGAGTTATTATTTCATTTATAACTTTTCTTATTAGTAGATCTTCTAAATGTTGCTTTTGTAGAGTAGCACTGTTTAAATCTTGATGTGAGAATAATAATTCTATCTAGGTTAAGTTAAAATTGAATTTTGTGGTTATTTCAAATTTCAGTTGTTAGATTTCATCACAAACCACTATCAGTTAGAGGTCATTGAGAACAACTGTTTTCGTCCCAGTTTGGGACTCCTCAGCAGTGTGTACCCATAGTCCCGCCAGAGATGGAACCCAATACCTTTAAGATCAAGCCACCTGGGTCGGAATTCAATGACCCATGAATTCTAACTTTGTCATTTAATGATATAGCGCTACTCATAATCTGAATATTTTAAATTTGTGCTAAAGTAGTTTTGTGACATATATATATATATATATATATATATATATATATATATATAGGGGTTCGATCCCCGGCCGACTCACTCTTTTACTTCGCTAAGCCACCCTATCCCGTAAAAATAAATACCACTGCTACCGAAACTTCAAGCCTCTAGCTTGAAGCCACATGTCCCACTGGGAACGTAAAGGAATTATATATATATATATATATATTATTATTGTTCCCTTGGGTTCCTAGTGGAACATACGGCTTCAACTGCACGTCTCCACTTGCTTCTGTCTTGTGCCGTACTTTTCACTTGCGTCCATGTTATTCCATACTGTTTCATCTCCTCCTCACACGATCTCCTCCATGTCACCCTTGGACGTCCCACTCGCCGCTTCCCTTTCGGGTTCCACTCGAGCTCTAGCCTGACGCGCGATGTCACTCAACGGCCTCCTCAGCGAGTGTCCAATCCATCTCCACTTCCTCCTGCATATTTGTTGGGCGATTGGTTCCTGTTCCGTTTGTTCCCATAGTTTCTTGTTGGTGATTCTTTGCAGCCATCTGATCTTCAGTATAGGACGAAGACAGTTGTTGATAAAGGTCTGCAACAGGCTGTTGGAAATATTCTTTGTGACCCATTGGCCAAGTTTCTGATCCGTATAGAAGAGAAGAACTGACTTGACATTTGTATTGAAAATCCGAATTCCGTTGTTAATGCTTAGATTGGTTTCAGGTTGATGAATGTGTTTCTCGCCTTCCCGATTCTCGATTTGACATCCTCGCCCGTTCCTCCTGTAGTTGAGACAATGCTCCCTAAATAAGTGAAAGAAGTAACCTCTTTCAAATCCCTCCCGTTGATGGTGATTGGCACTAGATGTTGTTGCTGTTGTTGGTTGGTTATTTTCATGACCTCCGTCTTGTCTATGTTCACCTGCAGTCCTGTCTTCACTGCCTGCTTCTTCGACCAGTTTGTCGGTTTTCGCTTGTAAGTCTTCGATTTTGTGTGACATCAAACATAAATGATCCACGCGCGAAATCCAGGTCTTCTAGGTTCTTCACGTCGGTCCAGGATATCCCTGTCTTCTCGTTTCCCACTGTTTGACGCATAATCCAGTCCACCACAATTAGGAATATCATTGGTGATAATAAGCACCCTTGTCTGACTCCTGTGTTTACTCCAAACGCTTCGCTGAGTTTTCCGTTGTGGATCACTTGACATGTGCCGTTGTCGTACAGTTGTTGAATAAGGTTGATGAATATTTGGGGTACGCCGTAGTACTCGAGTAGTTTCCAAATTACTTCGCGGTCAACGCTGTCGAAGGCCTTCTCAAAGTCTATGAAGTTGAGGTAGAGATTTGATTGCCATTCCATTCTTTGTTCGATGATAATGCGTAGAGTTGCAATTTGGTCAGAACATGATTTGCCTTTCCTGAATCCAGCTTGTTCTGGTCGGAGTTCTGTATCCAGCGCGTCCTTGATTCTCTCCAGAATGATGCGACTCAGGATTTTACTTGGCGTCGACAGGAGCATGATTCCTCGCCAGTTCTTGCAGAGTCCCAGGTCGCCCTTCTTTGGTAGTTTCACGAGGTAACCTTTCCTCCAGTCAGTAGGCACCTTTCCCTCTTTCCAGATCTTTTGCAATAATGGAGTCAGCATATCTGCCGTCGTTTCTGGGTCCGCTTTCAGTGCTTCCGGGGGTATTCCATCTGGTCCAGCTGCTTTTCTAGCTTTCAGAAACTTGATTGCATTCATGACTTCAGTTTTCGTTGGAGGATTGGTGTCAACTTGCAGTTGTGTACGCGCTTTTGTTGGTATTACTGGACGGGTTGTAGGTGGTGGTCGATTCAAGAGTCCTTTGAAGTGGTCCGCCCATTGTTTAATCTGTCTTTCTTCTTTGGTAATTGGGTTCCCTTGGCTGTCTTTTATGGGTTTCACTTGTGCTGATCTCTTCCCGGATAGAGACTTGGTTATCTGGTATAGTGTCCTCAGGTCCCTTTTGCCTGCTGCCTTCTCAGCTTTAGTAGCCAGGTTGTCGTAGAATTGTCTTTTGTCCTTCCTGGCACTCTTCTTCACTTCTTTGTCCAGTGCTGTGTAAGTTGAGCTCAGCGTCTCTTTCTCTTGTCCTTCTTTGCATTGAATCAGTTTTTCTTTCACCTTTCTCCTCTCCTCTATTAGTTTCCAAGTGTCTGTTGAGAGCCATTCCTTGTCTTGTTTCTTCTTTCTTCCTAAAACCGTTGAGCACGTTTCGTTGAAAATTACCTTCAGAGAGTTCCAATGGTCTTCCACGGATGATTCCTCAGTGGTGCCACGTAGTGTTTCCTGCTTTGCTCTGACAGTTGCAGTGAAAATGTCCTGTGTGATTGTGTCCTTCAGTTTGTGAGTGTTGAACTTGCATTGTGGCCTATCCCCAGCCATCCTCGAGGCTTTCAGCTTCACCTTGAAAGTCCCTTGTACTAGATAGTGGTCTGAACCCACATCTGCTCCTCTCCTCGATCTTGTGTCCAGTAGGCTCCGTCTCCACTTCCTTGAGATTGAAATGAAGTCTATCTGGTTTTTGGTGTGTCCATCTGGTGAAATCCATGTTGCCTTGTGTATATCCCTGTGTTTGAACACACTGCCACCAATCACCAAATCATTGAAGGCGCAGAAGTCTGAGAAGAGTTCACCATTGTCGTTCATTTCACCGAGGGCCTCGCGACCCATGGTGAGTTCTCTTCCTGTATTGTCTCCTCCCAGTTTCGCATTCATGTCGCCCATCAGGATTTTGATATCGCTCTTTGGGACGTTGTCCATTACTGTTTGTAGTTGACTGTAGAAATCCTCCTTCTTCTCTTGTTCTGAGATGTTTGTAGGCACGTAGCATTGAATGATTGTATCCTTTTTTCCTTTTGAGTTGAACCTGGCTGTCATTATCCTGGAGGAGATTGGTTCTCACTGCATGAGAGCTTTAGCCGCTGTTGGTGACATCATGATGGCTACTCCCTCGGTGTGCTCGTGATTGTCCTCTGGGTGACCGGAGTAGATTATTGTCTCTCCAGTTGATAGTTGGCTCCTTCCACATCCGTTCCATCTACTCTCGCAGATTCCCAACACTTCTATTCTATATCTCCTCATTTCTGCGGCTACCTGAGCAGCCTTCCCAGCTTCGTACATTGTACGAACATTCCACGTCCCCATCCTTATTTTCGCTTTCATCGAAAGAAGGCACATCGGCTGACTGGCTTCCCGAAGGCTTTCACCAGCCCGCGTCATTTCACTTCCCCGATTCCAGCGAAAAATAAGGTCACTATTTGTAATTTTAGAATTTTGAATATATTTGTGCGTTGAAGTTTTAGTAGCAATTTGGTTAAGTTTTGGGGGTGGAGTTGCTAGCACCACGCCCCAACCCTCCCTCTTTATCCGGGCTTGGGACCGGCTAGAATACTAGTGACCTAGTAATCTAGGCGAGGTTATATATATATATATAGGATTTGTAGCTCAGGTAGATGATTTTGATCTGATTGTGTTCTCTGTGCTCTGGATGGTTTGTCATTGTAGACAAAATTTTTTAGCTACAACTGTTGACGCAGCTCTAAATCGTTCCTACCGTTTAACATTTTCTTAATCCTAAGCACCTTCACAAGTCTCCATTTTATCTACTATCTACTCTCTTATAATGATATTTTTCGGTTGTAGTATTATAGTATTTCATCTCATATTGAAGTTTGCACTTAATCAGCTGTTTAAAAAGATAATGATGGCTTCTCAATTAAACCTTCCAGTTAAGAAAACAATAAATCTGTTGATTAACTTGCAGTCGTCACATCCTCTCATTGTGTTTTCTGATGTGTATGTGTGCGTAGGGTTGTCAAATGTATTAGATAAATTAATACGCGAATATGCATAAACGAATGTGTGAAGCTGGATGCTTAACATCATGATGCGAAACTAATATTTACGCATATTGTTATAGGATTGTTATTTCTTGTTTTACTTTTAAAGGTTTGTACTAATTATATCGAGTAAATTTATTATCTAATCTTTATGTTTTATATATATAGGCTAATCTATCACCTAATGCAGTTCGTGATACTTCAGGCCTTGCTAGTTCTTCAGAATCACTGGCTGAAGATTTTAACGATGATATTGTACAAGTATCCTCTCAACCGGAACCTTCAATTCAAGAGAGGAAATCACCTAAATCAAATGATCTTAATTCAGATCATTTGGTTCATTCAAATAATCTTAATCTAATCAGATCAAATGATGTGAATACTGTGATAACTGTTAATGATTAATATCACATCTTCTACTGGACCTACAGCTAAGTATGTTAAAATCATTTTGTTTTTTTTTGTTAAGTGTTATTTTTACACTTTAGTGATTATTGCAACTTAGAGTGAAGATAATTAAATGATATGTTTTATTGAACTTTGAGTTTATTGTAAGTAATATTTTACTGTGCGTCAGTGGCTCAGTGGTAAAATGCTCGCCGACCATGAATATAGCTTAGGGTTCGACTCCTGGCTGACGCACTCCTAACCTTCACCTTTATTTACTATCTACTGTTAGAAAGCTTGGAAACGAGGGATATCAGATCATGATGAAATCCTGTAACCAATCAAACAAAATCCCTGCAAACCAACACTTGAATATCAATCTGACGGTCACTAGCGACTGGCCCTATTCAGGTAGGTTCTAGTGAGGATTGAGGTACAGCGTATTAGGTATCAGGACAGATACTCGCTGTTGACATTGGTTAGTGGTCGAACTATATCGTGTAATTCGTGGGTCATTGGATCGGGTCCCAATGGCTTAGTGGTCTACGAACTCGTCTTGTAACCGGTAGGTCCTGGATTCGAAACCTGGTGGTGGGTGGGTACTGTGAACAGTCGAAAAAACTAGGACGAAACAGCCGTCCAGTACTCCCACGTTTTCCAATGGTTCTCTAACTGATATCAGCTCATGATGAAATCCTGTAACCAATCAAATCAAATATCTTGAAATCAAAACTTGAAAAGAGGGAGGTTACGTTGGAGTCTATCAACCCTATTCCGTAAAAAGAAGAGAAATTTTCATACTAAGCTTCTTTTTTTCCATCACTTTACATATCTTAAATGTATGTATTTCTTTACCTAGACCTCGGAGTAAAACTCGGAATTCAACAGAAACATTCGCTGTTACTCCTCCTCCAATATCTATCAATACTTCAGAAGATCATTTAGCTTCAAAAACTTCAACTGGTATTAACAGACCAAAACTTCCTGTTGATCCAGTTATTAAAATTGCTACCGAAGAAGATACTTCAGAATGCCCATCCCATCGTGCTTCAGCGGAGAAAAAGTATCAAGATACTTTGGATGTGCAAGGAAACGATGATGATGCTTATAGTAGCGGAGGTGTAAGTTTTTCACTTAAATGTTAAACGTCATAAGTGTTGTTAACAATATTTTGATTAATGATAGATTTCAGTAAATCAGAAATCCCCATAGTGTGTAATCAGAACAAGATGGTTTTGAGCGAACAATGGTTTTCGCTAATTTCTTCCTCAGACTCGACAGTTATAAATCCATGAATATTAGAATACACATAGCCAGGAAAGCCATGTGAAAATTATATCATCAGAAATTGTATTGGGATACATGTATGATAATGGAGTGATTTTTCGTTATGTAATATTGTCAAGTGAATGTTTATAAAAATGTGCAATCATTCAGAATATAAGATAAAGTGTGAATAGACAACTGCGTGCGTGAATTACTAATGTATTTATAGTCAACAGAATATCAGTTTCATTGGGTGTTGGGTAGCGAGGTATATTTAATGGTGTAAGAGAAATATGATTACCACAAAATACATACAAACAAATACCGGCAAATGGGGTGGGGGAGGGTGACTGTTATCAAGTGAAGTGATAAGATTTTTATCTTTTTTATCCCTTCACGTTCCCAGTGAAACGTAGGGCTTCAAGCCAGTTACTTCAAGTTTCTGTAGCAGTGTTTATTTTTACAGGATGGGGTTGCTAGCCTCATGCCCAACCTTTCCTCTTTACCAGCTTTATTTCTGGCTTAGTGAGGTTCAGGAGTGCGTCTGTGGCCTGGGATCGAACCCCGGACCATGTGCATGGTCGGCGAGCGTCCTAACCGCTATGCAACCGACGCACTTAAGTGATAAAATAAAGAGATTTAATTATGAACAGTTCACAGTGTCACTTTTAAAGGAAAATTCAATATTTCCAAATTTTTCAAACTCGTCTCTTGTATTTTATTTACGCTTAAAAGAAGTGTAACTGAAAAATCGAAGACAATAGTTTCCGATAATTTTATGCATCACTTCAATTGGTCAGCACAAAGAACATCGAAATTCACCTTTCAAGTGTCAAGAGACTTTTTGGCTATTTCACATGAATTTGTTGTAGGTACAGCATTATAAAGCTTTAGATAGACTGAATTTCTGTTTAACTGAATGAATCTTGTGAAAATATGAAATGTTCATGCAGCTGAAATTTCAGCATGGATACAGAAGACACGCACCACATATGCCAAATTATGTCATCTTTGACTTCGTTTGTAATACATCAAGAGGTGTATGTATACAGCATAGCATTCCACTCAGTCCATATTTACGTCTGTGAGACATAGTCGCTGAAGGTTGAAGATGCGAGAAGATTAACAATCCTTGATTATAGATGCCTCGCCTTGGTTTCCTGTGTGTTAGGTTAAACAGATGACCGTTAGTAATACGTAGTGTTAGTTAAGTGGGGAAGCCGATTCATGTGGCTATCTCTTCTTGATCGGGGTAATAAGGTCATGCCCTAGGTGTACTGAATCATCTTTTTCTTAAGACATTAGAATTATTTGAAGATTTTGGTTAGGAAAGAATATGTGGTAGCTAGACTGGATTTCGGCGCCCATGGATGAAGACATCAACTGTTGTTCTGAACCTCATAGAGACACATGTCTCATGGCTGAATGGGGTTCGAGAGATGATGCTAAGAATGAGTAGTCAGTGATGTTTGATATTGTGCTTTAAAATCTCTTAAGGTGACACAGAAGTCATCTTGTCAGTTATTAAAATATCCACTTGTTCCTGTTACTTTATTCTCGCCGTTTCAGTCATGTTTACATTTGTTTTATGTCCCACTACTTTATACACTTTATCGAGTGTTAGTAACTTCATCTGATGTCTAAAGTTGTGTTTTGATCGTATTCGCCAAATTTTTTGCACTTCATAGATAACTTCCTTCCTTTTGTATTCTGTTACTCACTGCATTTCAGCAAGTAGTGCTGTGTTCTCTGCTTGACTGTTTTGCAAAAATTGGTCTTACTAAAATAAAAATGCTTTATATATCAAAACGCTAGCCTTTAGTTTTTTTCACGAGTTTAAAAAAAATCAGTGTTTTGTTTGTTTATGTCTGGTGGCGACCTGTTTGAATCACTGGGCTACCTGGATTTCCATCCACCACAATCTCGTCACATTTTTTTCTAATTGTTGTTTTAACCATTCGTATGTGTCCCTCGAGTCGCATAATATGCTAATGCACATTTTTAACTGGTCTTCAAACTATCGGTATGTATTTTTCGAAGACGAAGGAAAAATATCATGAAGAATTAGTCTGTACTTCAGATCGAACAGCATTTCGTCACATGACATACTATAAGTTTCTATTTTATTCAAAGATCCTGGATAAAGAGAAAACAATATGCTGTAAATTAAGCTGCGAGTTCTGTAGACTGTGTAAACATTTTGTCCAGAATAAAGCTATTATATTTGTTCAACTCCTATGTGATTGATTGGCTAGAACTCGGCTACTCGGTGTTGGAGATATCAGTCACACTTATTCTATGAGGACTGAAGATACTACCCAGCCGTCTAGGTTGAAGTACGTGGATCAAGATTTGAACCCGACACTCATTGGCTGGGAGTCGAGTGCTTAATGAGTGCCAATGAGATACATCTCCACCAACTCATATGTGGACAGTATGTAGAGCCTGTTATCTCATGTTTTGTACAACCAATATAGACACTCACAATCTTCAACAGAGTTAGAGCCAACTTCCATTGCCATCTCTGTATTATTATTATTATTGTTCCCTTGGGTTCCTAGTGGAACATAGGGCTTCAACTGCACGTCTCCACTTGCTTCTGTATTCTGCTGTACTTTTCACTTGCATCCATGTTAGTCCATACTGTTTCAACTCCTCTTCACACGATCTCCTCCATGTCACCCTTGGACATCACACTCGTCGCTTCCCTTTTAGGTTCCACCCGAACTATGGCCTGACGCACGATGTCACCCAGCGGCCTCCTCAGCGAGTGTCCAATCCATCTCCACTTTCTCCTGCATATTTGTTGAGCGATTGGTTCTTGCTTTGTTTTTTCCCATAGTTCCATGTTGGTGATTCTTTCCGGCCATCTGATCTTCAGTATAGGACGAAGACAGTTGTTGATAAAGGTCTGCAACAGGCTGTTGGAAATATTCTTTGTGACACACTGGCCAAGTTTCTGATCCGTATAGAAGAACTGACTTGACTTTTGTATTGTAAATCCGAATTTTGTTGTTGATGCTTAGATTGGTTTCAGGTTGATGAATGCGTTTCTCGCCTTCCCGATTCTCGATTTGACATCCTCGTCGATTCCTCATGTAGTTGAGACAATGCTCCCTAGATAAGTGAATGAAGTAACCTCTTTCAAATCCCTCCCGTTGATGGTGATTGGCGCTGGATGTTGCTGCTGCTGTTGTTGGTTGTTTAGTTATTTTCATAACCTCCGTCTTGTCTATGTTCACCTGGAGTCCTGTCTTTGCTGCATCTTCGACCAGTTTGTCGGTTTTCGCTTTTAAGTCTTCGATTTTGTGTGACATCAAACATAAATCATCCACACGCGAAATCCAGGTCTTCTAGGTTCTTCACGTCGGTCCAGGATATCCCTGTCTTCTCGTTTCCCACTGTCTGACGCATAATCCAGTCCACCACAATTAGGAATATCATTGGTGATGATAAGCACCCTTGTTTGAATCCTGTGTTTACTCCAAACGCCTCGCTGAGTTTTCCGTTGTGGATCACTTGACATGTGCCGTTGTCGTACAGCTGTAAGTCTCTATATAATAAGTCAGTCACCTTTTAGTATTAAATATTCATTAAAATGTTGTGAAACATAGTCTCATGTTGCATTGGTTATCACAAAAAAATAACTGTTCAGTCTAATCTGTATCTCAGAGAAGTGATCCAGATTACTTTTCATTGCTAAAAATGGGGACGCTTCTACAACACGATTTTCTTTGTGAAAAATCTGTTTTATCTTCTCTGTCACTTATGTGTACATGCAAATCAATTTGTTATTATTTTATTCCTTTACGTTCCCAGTGGAACATCGTGAGGGCTTCAAGCTAGAGGCGTGAAGTTTCGGTAGCAGTGGTGTTTATTTTTAGGGGATGAGGTTGCCAGTCTCATACCCTACCTTCCGTCTTTACCAGTCTTATTACTGGCTTAGCGAGGTAAAGGAGTGCGTCGGTCGGAGATTGAACGCCGAACCAGCTGCGTGGTTGGCGAGCATTCTACCACTGTGCCACCGACGCACAAATCGATTACCTTAGATTGCTCGATTCTTCTTTTATTAAGTCTCTAAACTGATTTTGAAGTTTTTTATTTCAAAATACACTCTTTGAATATCTTTCTTCCTGTATTCATGGAATTCCACCAAATTTAAACTGTTGTGTTTCTGAATTAACTAATCAATTAATTCCTGTGATAAACCAGTTTTAGGAAATGTTGACTGTTTTTATCCTAACATCGTGTAGAGTACATATGTTGTTAAGTTTATTTCATACTATCACATAATTGAAGAAAAGCTTAACAATTATGCATGTTTATAATATTGATCTTTGAGTCTTTTTAATGTCATTTTTTCTCCCCCACTTTATACATAGAACATTTTTTTACCTGCACTACTATATCGCATAAACTCACTACTGTCATAATTTGTAGACTCTAAGTAAGAAGATGATAAAGCTCTGTGTCCTCTGTCTCTCTCGGAATTTAGTGGTAATAGTTATCCAATCAAAAGTTTGCATTTCACTTTTTATTATTATTATTATTATAGAGAGCAATTCTTAGTGTTCACCTTTTTATTCCTCCGAAGACACATTTACTTAAAAGGCTTTCATTAAGAAAGTATCTTTTTTTAAATTTACTGCCTTATTGCATAACTTTAAATAGAATTATATATTAAATGCTTACCATTGTTGAAGTTAATTTCACTGATAATGTTGTATGCATTTCTTGGAAATACAAAAATTTATCAAGAAACACATGACAAAGAAAGCAGAAAAGGACTACTCATTATCTGTAAAAAAGAAGCCACTTTATATACGACTACAATTTAAGGGCGATATACCAAGTG